CTGTGGGACAGAGAGAGTCCATGTGACCTGCCCTCCCCAGGTTCCATATCAATCTGCGTGCTGGAACTAACATCGCCTTCCACCTGAACCCTCGATTCAATGAAAACACTGTGGTCCGAAACACTCAGATCAGGGGCTCCTGGGGGTCAGAGGAGCGAAGCCTGCCTGTCAACATCCCCTTTATCCCAGGACACAGCTTCAAGGTAAGATGCTGCAGCCAGGAGCTTAGGGGTCTGCCTGGGCGCTAGGGGAGAAGCAGTGAGGTGAGGAGGACTTGGGGTACCTTGAACAGGTTAGGGGTTGATGCTTGTGATAGGAGGATTGTGTCCCAAGTAAGACAAAAGTGTATCAAATTATTATCATGTTATGATTACTGTCCCCCAAGGAAAGTATTAAGATCTGCTCTTAGAAGGTAAGCTATCCAAATCACAGGACAAATTACTTGCCAGAGGTCACATGCCCATTGATGCCAAATCAATCAAAATAAGGAGGTGCCAGTCATTGATGTGCATACTCACTCAGCAATTATTTATCAGCTGTCTGATTGGGCTCCCTTTGTGCAAGAAACACTCATGTTCACGAATGCAGCCAAGAAGCAGAGAGAGCAGGTCCTACCTCATGGGGCTGCAATCTAGGCGGGGAGGACCCAGGCGTCCAAGGCATGAACCATCCGCACAGATGACAGGTGCTCTGCGTGGGAGGGACCCCACTTTGGGGGGTGGTAATGTGCAGAGGAGGGAGGGGCCTGTGCAGAGCTGCACTGCAAGGTGGAGAGTGAGGGTGAGAGAGGTGAGGGGTGTGACTGCAGGCCTGGTCACGCTGATTACACATACAGGTCACACACAGAGCTTACAAAAACAAAAAGGAAACAGAACAGCCAGGTGCTGGGGCACATGTACCTATAATAGCGGCACTCTGGCAGGTCAAACCAGGAGGATCCCAAATTTGAGCTCAGCCTGGGCAATTTAGTGACTTAGGGAGATTTTGTCTAAAGGAGAAAAATTTAAAAATAGGGGAAGGGATGTAGCTCAGTGTGAAGGTCCTGGGTGCATGCTACAGTACCACAAAGAAAGAAAGAATAAAGGAAGGAAGGAAGCAGGGAGGGAGGGAGAGAGGGAGAGAGGGAGAGAGATAAAGAAAGAAAAAAAGAAAGAAAGAAGAAAAAAAGAAGATTGGTCTGCAATGCCTTGGTCTTGCCCCAGCCATGGACACTGTCAGCCCGGGCATCTGCTTAGGCAGAAGTTATGCCCTGGACCACTGCGCTCTGCAATCTGGGCTGGAAATGACTGGTGTCGAGCTGTGTGGGCTGGGAAGGGAGCTTGGATTTACTGCAGTGAGAAGCCACTGGGGAGCAACAGCAGGGAATGCTACCTTTGATTCATAGGGAGCTTCCTTGGGGAAGGGCCCTTCAGCCAGGGACAGTCACTGGGTCTTTGCAGCTCCATTTCCTCATCTACAAATGAGGCTAAGAATCCCGGGGTCTCAGAGAGCTGTGGGAATGGGCCGCGGTAGTCTCTGTGCACACTAGCACAGTGCCCTGCATGCGAGTGTGATGGAAAAGTGAGCACTGCCATTTGTACCCTGATGGCCTCCTGGAGAAGGTCCTGGGAGGGAAAGGAGGAGTCAGGAGGCCGCTGTAGCTGCTGCAGACTCCAGGCATGGACATGGAGGGCGCAGATGTCACAAGCCAGCACTGCTGCCCCCGGTGGCCTGAGAGGGCAGTTGGTCCCCTGGGAGGGTCTGGTGGGGACAGGGAGGACTTGCCAGAGCGGGCTGGGTCCTGAGGTGCCTGGCACTGACACAGGGCAGAGATGCAGGCTGGGAGCAGCACTGTGGGCTGGGAACCCCGTGCTCTGAGGTCCAGGGAGGAGAGCACGAGGTGCTTGGGGAGGAGTGAGTCCTTCAGTATGAGCAGGTGTGGGGCTGAGGACTTTGTGCATGGAGTGTGAACGGCAGGCCTCTTTTCCCAGGTGGAGATCATATGCGAAGCCCACTGCTACAGAGTGGCCGTGGACGGCCAACACCTGCTGGAATACGCCCACCGTATTAAGGACCTGGCAGCCGTCAATGCCCTGGAAGTAACTGGCGACATCAAGCTTACTGATGTGCAGGTCTAGGCGGGCTCAAGAGCCCAGTGAAGGGCTGGGGACATGGCTGCCTGTGTCTCCTCCCTGTCGTCTTCCCTTCTCAGCCCAGCTTCTGAGCCCTGCCATCTGAGCAGATGGTGTCCTGAGGTGGGACACACAGGTGACCTCCAGGTCCCTTCCTCCTTGCAGCGAGGGAGGACCTGAGCCTTCCGTGCTCCAGCTCAGGCCCATTCTGCATAAGGCTGTCAAACCCCTTCCTGTCCCCTGTGCAGCCCCACGCTAGTCCCAAGCCCCAGCTGTGCACCGCAGGGACTGGGGCCCTCCACAGCCCCCATTCCTGTGACCTTTACCTTCCCTCCCTGGCTGTGCACCCTGCTGCGACACTGCTCCCTCTGGGGAGGCTGCCCTGTGACACCTGCTGGTTTCCACCCACTGAGCAGACCTTTCTCAGCAGTGGGCTCTTCCCTGTCCTGGCCTCCTTAAAATAAAGAAAAGCAAATGCTGTTGCTCTTGGCACACACTCGTGGGATGGCGGCTTTAGTAGTGTGTCTAGAGACATTTTGGAGTCTCTGGCTTTGGGGGCCCCTGCCAATGGAAGGGGGATGAGTCAGCACAGGCTCCCTTAGGGAAGGAGGCTCCTGACATCCACACTGATGCCCAGGGGACCTCACAGAGCCCACAGGGGTGCTGCAGGAAGCAGCTGGGGTGCACACTTGCAGGCACGGGCCTGTAATGTAGGAATTTTGGTAGCTGGGTGAAGCTAGGAAACATCTCCACGCTACTGAGAGCAGAAAAGGCTGGGACACAGTCGGTGGGAGTCACGAGAGCCAAGAAGCCGGATGAGCTGTGCCTGAGCAGCAGGGGAGCCAGTGGGGAACCTGACATGAGGAGTGGGGGTGAGAGAGCTAAGTACCTCAGTGCCAGGACCTGCCCGTCACTGGGCAGCATAACGGAGCCCAAGCGAGTATCCATGTGATGCCAGCGCACCTGCTAATTCCTGAAGAACTTGGTCCCTCAGGAGCCAGCTTAGGGCTCAGGGTGTGGACCTCGGGCAGCAACAGCAGAGGGACCTGGTGAGGAATGCACAGGCTCAGGCCCCGCACAGGATCTAAATGTAAATCTGTGCTTTCGCCAGATCCCATGAAATGGTGTGTGTGTGTGTGTGTGTGTGTGTGTGTGTGTGTGTGTGTAGGTGAGCAGCCCTGGTCTAGGCTGCTGGAGTCTTGCCCACACTGTTCAGACTCCTCTCTCCTGGTCTGGAATGAAAGGTTTCCCTAGTTGTCGAGCCCCTTCTGTGCCTCCCATCGCAGTAGCTGCTGCCAGAAGCAGGACAGGTCTGAGAGGTGCAGCCAGGCAAGGAGCCCGGAGGTGGGAATACATCTGAAACTGGGGCCAGCCTTGGTCAGACAGCCGCTTGCCCCCTCCTGAGGCCCTTCGTTGGTTCTGAGAAGGAGACACAGCTCCGTCTCATACTCAGCCCTCCTAGCTGGCTGCACACCCAGAAATGTCCTGGTCTCTCAGGCAGGCAGGGACGCCGCGTACCCTTCACCCACCTCAGCCTCCTCCTGCAGGAGACCACATCTGCCTTTCCCAGGTGCCGAATCTCCATTGTCCAAACCTAATGAGAAAAACAGCAACAGAGCAAAACCTGTAGAACAGGGCGGTGGGCAAGGCCTTCACTAAGGACCTGGCATTGAGAGCAAGATCCTCTCTCACCACACTCTGTAAGACGAGCCCCATGTGAGGCACATCTCCTGTGCAGCGCCTGTCTCTTCACTCTGCGCCCCCCGACCCACTTTGGACAAGCACAGTACTCCACCTGCCACCAGTTCAGAGCAGAATGCTTGGCCTGCTTGTTCTCTGTGGGGTACTTTGTCTGGGTGGTGTCAGACGCCCACCCAATGTATGACCTGGAGCAGCTCTGGGTACAAAAAGGAAACACATATACACAGAATAATTGACATGAAGTGAAATTTTTGTAACTATTTTTTGTAACTATTTCCATCAAGGAATTATACAGGGACGGCTCAAGTGGCCCCGTCCCTAGAAACAGACAGGAGTATTTTTAATGCAGAAGCACAGCGGCTGTGCCCAGGGCAGCTAAGCACAGAGGTACCCATGGCGCCTCCAGGTCCTCCCTGGAAGTGTGCGCTGAGCGGTGGCTTCTGTCTTCCCGTCGCCCACTCGCCTGCCTGGCTTACGGGTTCCTCTGCCCGGGGCCGGGGATTGTAGGCTGCAGGGA